TTCAGTCTGTAGATGTGCAAAGCTGGTAGAGACAGACCCTAAAAGACTGGCAGCTGGAACTGCAGCAAAAGCTGGTTCTACAAAGTGTTGACTCAGGGGCTGAATAATTACGCACACCCCACTTTGAAGTTATTTATTTGTAAAGAATGTTTGGAATCATGTCTGATTTTCGTTCCACTTCTCACGTGTGCACCACTTTGTGTTGGTCTTTCACCTGGAAGTCCAATAAAATTGATTCATGTTTGTGGCTGTAATGTGACAAAATGTGGGAAAGTTCAAGGGGGCCGAATACTTTTGCAAGCCACTGTATAACAACCCTATTGTCACAAGCTGTGGCTCCCTAAGGTTCTTTTCAAAATGTTGTCTTCCTTTACATCATCAAGTGCCCTGAGATGGCTCATATTAGACTATATAAATAACATTATACTAAAATTAATACTAATGATTTAGGCATGGCTTTGATTACTAGTGTAGTGACGTTTCTGTGGTCCAAGTATAAAGTATCGTAATGTTAATATTCACATCAAGGAGCAATAACACAGAAACAATTATCTTTTCTTTCATTACTTAAACAGTTTTCAATAATCTGTCTGGGAATGAAGGCACTTCCTCATTTTTTTACATCTCCATTATTTTTATTTGACGGATTTCAATGACTGTTAGACATGTCTGCATCAGCTGTCGAATGGTAAATTTCCAAAGCATAAACAATATGTCACATGTAGAAACGCTCATTCTTCATATCAGTGTAGTTTATCTCTTATTTCTCAATCTGAACAATTTTGATTAATATCCTGCTCTTCCCAACATAACCTAAGAGCAGATTTTTACATATGGTCCGTATTTTGGACATGTTCAAGCCGTACATGACAGGATTGAAGAGGGGCTGACATGTAAGAAAGTACACTGATAAAAATATCCGTAACATGTTTGGAACATGGCTCATATCAAACCTGCTCTGTAGTATTTCAAAGGAAACCCCAAAAGAAAAGTTGAGCAGAGAAGCGAGGTGAGGCGTGCAGGTGCTGACGGCTTTCTGTCGGGTCTGTTTGGATCCAGAAAAACAGATTTTCAGGATCCTTGTGTAGGTGTACAGGATTACAGATACTGGGACACACACTGTGACAGAGGCAGCAGTGAGCTCATAGAGATTATTAACTGTGGTGCCATGACATCCCAGCTTGATAATGGAGTGATTGTTGCAGTACACTTTGTTAATGACATTTCCACAGAGCTGCAATGAAGCACTCAGACATGTTGTGACACAAACGGCAAGTAAAGGGGGTATCCAGGTCACAGCTATCAGAAGGGCAACTTTATTAGACATCATTAGTGTGTGATATTGAAGAGGATAACAGATGGACATGTATCTGTCATAAGACATGGCAGCTAAGTTACTAAACTCTACACTTGCATATAAGTAAATAGAGAAAACCTGCAGGAAGCAGAGAGGAGCAGAAACAGTGTGAACATCAGAGAGGATCTGAAGCAGGAGGAGCGGAAACAGCCCTGTACTACCATACAGCTCATTCACAAACAGGCTGCACAGAAACATGTACATAGGTTCATGTAAGCTTCTGTTCACACAGATAACCACAATCAGCAGGACATTGGAACCTACTGTAAACACATACAGAGACAAAATAATCATGAAATATAAATATTTAAACATCTGTGTATCAACATAGGCACCAAGAGTAAAATATGAAAACTGTGTGGAGTTTCTTATGATCTCCATGGTGCACAGCAAGCCAACACTATCCACAGGATACTGTACATTTAGAAGTATTCATACTATGTTAGTGATCCTTTCACCTGCTTTGAACTGTGGCATGAATTAGCCAAAATAACCACACAAGCAACACATTATATCACTGAAGGATCATTTGTGACAAAGATCTCAAACTTACCTCTGCACTACAGTTTAGTATATGTGTAGTATCAAAAGGCTCTGTAGTCATGTGTAACATGGGACACTGAACGACACACGGACTGAACTGTGACTTCACCTCTGCTTCATTTAAGCTTTTCACTTTAGTCCCACAGCAGTCTGGTGTCATTACCAAGGGACATGCTTTGCAAACTAAATAACTCTTTGAAACTAAAAAAATAAACAGTTGCATAAAAGAAACATTAGTAAGTCAATCTCAACACAAGGCCAAAGGAAGAGCAGACTGAAAGTATGATGGATGGATGAATGCATGAGTGGAGGGATGTTTTTCTCATTCACTCATGGAGATGTAGCAATGGCTGTCCATGGCTGCCATACAATTTATTTGCTTACAGTGTCTTTCCCTGTGTAATACCAGAAATCACACAGAATGAAACAGAAATATGCAAACATGCCCAAACCAGTAGATATTTTTTCATTTGGATTTAACTTAAGAGTAGCACTAAAGTGTCCTCTCAGTGCTGCTCTTTGAGTTTGATGTCTTGGGCCTGTTGCAAGCACTTCCTTCCCTGTACACCCATAGTGGCAGCTTGGTTCATTATTAGTTCATTATTCAATTCAATTCAATTTTATTTATACGGTGCCAAATCACAACAACGGTTGCACTTTGTATTGTAAGGCAGACCCTACAGTAACACACAAAAAACAGAAAAAGAGAGACAGCCCAACAATCATATGAGTGTCTTGATGCATGCTCAATCATCCAGGTAATGAAATCCCCAAAAGTTGATTCTGTTCATCTGGACGTAGCGTCTTGAGTTGGAGAAACGTTATGTGAAAAGGGAAAGACCATCTCTGAATTGAGGAGGGGTCTTAAGGTTAAATCTTTTGCCATCTTACATGCTGTGATTGCAGCCATTCCCCAACTTTCTGTGAATGGGACTCATGGCCATTGATCAGTGGTTGTTGATCAATGGTCATGAGAATTTGCATAATTAAGATTAAGGAACCAACCTCCCAGCCCTTTGTTCCTCCAGTGGGCTGGTTTCAGTCATTATGCAAATGTTCTGTTTATGAGATTGAAACCTGCAGTCAGCTGAGACTGAAGACGTCACTTGGATGGGTGACAAAACGTTTCTCCCACTGAAAACGTCCAGATGAACAGAACTTTCTGGGAAACATATGACCCCCTATGAGCAGCACTTTGGCGACAGTGGGAAGGAAAAACTGCCTTTTAGCAGGAAGAAACCTCCAGCAGAACCAGGCTCAGGGAGGGGCGGGGCCATCTGCTGTCATTGGTTGGGGTGAGAGAAGGAAGACAGGATAAAGACATGCTGTGGAAGAGAGACAGAGATTAATAACAGATATGATTCAATGCAGAGACGTGGGCTAGACGGTGTGAGATGGCTGACTTGAGTTCTGTATGTTCTGAGGGAGTGTGATGGCAGGAGGGCAGGCAGGTGAGGCACAGAGAGATTTCCAGAGGAAATGTGGGTTATCTGAAGTCCAGGAGATGAGCTTAAGTCTTGGGTAAGAGTTCTGGGGCGTCTGGGAGAATTAAGGCACAAGAGAACAAGGTAAGTAAAGCACCTGACAAAGAGAATATGGAGCATTAGAGCCAGATACCAACATGGAGTACCTGAAAAACTGGCGGAGAAGGAACATCAGTGTAGGGCTTAAATCCCTCCAATCTGATTACCTCAAATCAGCTCCAGGTGAGTGAAGCTGCTGAAGATATGATGGCCCTGCCCAGGGGTGGATACCAAGAGGACTGAGGAAGTTTCCAGTCACTCATTCAGATCATGACAAGGGATTGCTATTTGGGTAACAATGAACAGTCTGAGCTGGAACAATGGAGTCAGTGCAGAAGGTTATGTAGTCGGTGATACACTTAGTGAGCCCATTGATGTCCTCGGCGTGAGGCTCAGAGTGTCTCCCAGTGTGTCATCTCAAAACAGCCCTTAAGTTCTGCTAAGGCCTCCTCCAACCAGTGCCTAATACTGCTAGTGGTCATAGGCTGCCTCCTCACAACATGCAGATAGCAGGAGATGAGATGAATCAGTTTATGATATGACCTACCCAGTGGGGGGAGGGAGGAGAGTGGATAATGTCACATGCAGCTGCGAGGTTAGCAGAGGGAGGAACATAAAAGCCACCAAGATCCAATGGGTAAATTCTCTGTGCAAATAATACTGCCAGAGTCCAACAGAGTACAGTTTACTGTTCGAGCAACAAATCCTTTCTTAGAGGAATGGACAATTAGGAATTAACAAGGGAAACCTGGGCGTCTATTGTCTCATGTTGTCTGGAAGATGAGTGGATGATGGGCTGGGTGCAGTTTTCTCTGTGGTGGGGTTGGGTGGACTGTCCCGGGCTCTGTGGGGCCGGGCGGCATTGCTGTTCTGGGCCCCGGTCTGGATGGGCCTGGGCCCCCTTTCCCTGGCAGGTTGCAGAGTATGGGTGTGCCTACTGGGGTCAGCAGGGGAGCTGGCCCCAGGGAGGTCAGTTGCCCCTCCCTTCCTTCCCTCCCCATCTCCAGCTGCCTCCCTCTTCCCGCTCCACCACAATCACCCACACATGCAGAG